GATCCCCCCCACCTCCTCTGCCCGTGGCCGCTTATGTGAATACAGCAGATTAAATCTGCAAAGCCGAGATCATGAAATTTTTAAGCTGCAGCCATTCAGGCGGCCTCCCAGGAGGCCCGTGGGAGGTCACGCGCCTCCGGGAAAGTGCTGCTGTCAGTCCTGCTGGTTTAGGGCTGAGTTCCCCTTCGTGGCCTGACTCATCCCCTTCCCACCCTCCCCCAAGCCGCACGAGGTGGGGGAGGAGGAGGAGAGCATGGAAGGAATCCTAGTTCTCAGCTGCTGGTGAAGGATGGATTTTTCCAGCCTCTCCTGCCCGCAGCAGGGAGCGCAGGTCTGGGGAGGCTCAGTGAGTCCTCTGTCCCCCCCAGGGGCAGCTGCAGGGATGCTGGGGACTGGAGCCTGGAGCACAGAGATGGGGGCAGGAGGGCCGGGCCTGTGCTCCCAGCCCTGCAGCCTCTGCGTGTGGCATCAGCGCCTGGCTCTCGTTTTCCTGCAACACCAGAGCCTGGTTGTGATCACTCGCCTCCATCTGCCATGAGCTGGGCGGCAGGCGGGACACTCCAGGGGCCACGTGGCATGGAAGGCCGTTTGGTTACTCTTGGGAAAGTTGTCAGTGCGGCCGGTCACCTTGGCAGGGGCCCACAGCTGTCTGACCACAGGCAGAAGAGTCTGGAAACGCGGCCTGCCTCTCCTCCCAAGGCACACTGTTTCGGCACTCTGTCTGCGGAGGAGACTAGCTCAGTCCCATCCGACAGCACACAGGCCTGCAGGGCGGGGACCAGGAGTGCGGGGTGGCCCCCTCCGTACTCCAGCCATCCCCCTTCCTCTTCTTTATGCCTCACCCAGTCAACAGTCAATGCCTCCCTCCCACCATCACAAGGATGAACTCCAGGTGGAGTGAAGATCTCAACACTGGAGAGCAGAAAGCAGCTCCCAGGGTGGGGGAGGACAGGAGAGTGCATTTAAGAAACCAGGCTGTGGGGCGGAGCTCCCTAGGTGAGACAAGAACCTCCAAACCACACAGAAAATGGTGAAGAGAACAGAGTAACCTCTTAAAATCTTCAAAGTTCTGTGCCACCGTGTGGCACCCCAGCAAAATGAAAAGGCAAACCACATACTTGGTTACAATATTCGCGATATCTAATAGACAAACCATTCATGTCCAGAATAGATAAAGAGTTCCAGAAAATCAACAAGAAAAGAACCCAGAAGAAAATGTGAAAAATGTGGAAAAGATAAGATAAGCAGTTTGTAGAAGAAAAAAATATATCTTTTAACCCTACTGGCGGGAAAAGCTCTAAGAGTAATAACCTTCATTATTGCTGCAAGTGTGCGGCTAGGGACACTGCCAGGAGGTGTGAGCGGGACTGCCTGGTAGTTTCCATGAATGGTAAAGATGCGTATCAGCAAGCTGAGTCGTTCACTTTAGGAATCTGCCCTGCAGAAACCTTCCCCAGTACATTAAAAAAAATTGCTTATAGCATTTTTTAGTACTCAATTTTTTACAACCCTCAATTTTTATTATATTTAGCAGAAATAAGATTCTTCTGCCAAATTGCTTACAAGTTCCTAAACTCTTCCTCTCAGTTTCTGTAACAAAACATTTTATGCTGTCAGGAACACTGGTCTAGAATATGGTTGTATTCTGTAAACACTTCGTGGACAGCAGAAAAAGAAAGTACTGTTTACATAGTATAAGTCTCTCTACATGGGAATATGTGATATCCATGTACACATGTATTTTTTTGTTGTTTTTTGTTTTTTTTGAGACAGGGTCTCACAGGTCAGGCTGGAGTGCAGTGATATGATCAGAGCTCACTGCAGCCTCCAACTCCTGGGTTTAAGTGATCCTTCTGCCTCAACCTCCTGAGTAACTGGGATTACAGGTGTGAGCCTAGAGCTGGGGCTGCCAGGGTGGGAGGTGAGTTGGGGGCAGGAATGACAGTGAACACCCATGAGGCTCCTCAGTGCTGAGGACAGAGCCTGAGGCAGCCCTGGCAGTGACACAGCTCTGACTTTAGAAGCAGACAGGCTTGTTCACTCTCTGCCCTGCCCTTGGGTGCTGTGTGATGTCCATGAGCCACTTAACCTTCCTTTGCCCCAGTTTTCCCTTCTGTAGTATGATGAGGTTGGCCCGCGTCATCTCCAGGACTCGTTTTAGCTCCCACATTTCGTTCTCTTCTGGCACCTTTTATTCAAATGTGCCCTCAGGTGAGCTGGCAGTGTGTGCAGAGTACTGGAAGGGCTCCTTCTCCTCCCCTGGGCCTGTTTCAGAGGTTGCCACCTCCGTGAAGCCTGTTCCATCCCAGTGCCCATCCCGAGGCATTTGGTGTCTGGGTTGTTGGAGAACTTGCTACATGCTTCCCCATTTCCTAGGTGATTAGTCCATCCATGCATCCACCCACCTATCCATCTATATACTCATCCACCCATCCATCCACACACCCATCCACCCCTCTACCTATCCATAAATCCATCCATCCCTCCACCCATCCATCTACCCATTCATAATTCCATCCACCCA